GATTTTTATTATATATCTGTTCCAAGGTGCTCGGGAGAAAATGCGTGCTTCTCCGTCAGAATCCTTGCAAGATTTAATAGTAGATTGTTATGTTGGCTAGTTTAGCAATTGCTTTTTACATGCTGCGGTTCTACCATTGTAAAAGGAGGGGGGGGAGAAGGAATGGGAAACTGTTAGAAGCAGATGGCTCCTTATCACAGGCGGTGGTATTCTCAAGGTCGTACCAGCAAGGGAATCAGGAGACCAGGAGGTAAGGGGGGTGAAGGAGGGAAAAGTAAGAAAAACTTTGGTGCACTCAGGCTCAGTCTTAGCAATGCTTTGGAACTATACACTTGTTCTCAATAAATGAACTCTCTTTTGAATCAATATTGGTTGCAAGGACAGTTACTGGATTTGGGATCAGCGGGTGGCAGATCGTTACACTCCCTCTGCTCCTGTGTTTTATCCTTCCAACACCTTTTAAATATTCAAGCTGAAAAGGATCACTGGCTAGAGATTTTGTGAGTTTTAAACCTGAGTCTTTGCCCAATCACTCATCACACTCAGAATATGATCTTATGACAATAAAATATTTAGAACTTTGATGGGGCAATGTTGGCCATCTTTACAGAAGAGCTCCAAGACTGAGCACAAGGGCTCCCTGTGCCAAGGTGACCATTTAGTTTAGCACTCCACAAACAAAGGTAACCAGACTAATCTGTTACCTACAGAACGACAGGAGTGCATATATAATTCAAAACTGATGTCCAACTCAACTGTACAAAATACAGCAAGTATAGCTTGGTGGTCAAGGTATTAGACTTAGAAGTGGGAGAGACAGGTTCAAGCTCTTACTGGGCCACAGAGTTCATTGGATGATTTTGGGCTAGTCATTTCTTTGTAACCCAACCTATCTCATATGGTTACTGCGGATATAATATTAGGGGAAACCTTAAAGAAACTGCACAGAAATCTTCGGAGACATAAATGCAATAAATAACATAAACCTGTAGTCCTAAGCATACAAAATATAGTGTAACATTAGTATATCATTTCATTTCTCAGAGATGTGCATTATATTCTCATACACAGGGGATAAGGAGGGTTACATTTTCCCTACACACAAAATTTCTTCAAAAATTTAAATTCAATAGCTTTCCCAATTATTATGGTTTTATGCCCACTTATAAATGCTCTTAGACAAATGATTGTGAATCAGATAGAGGTGAACGCCTCTATTGTTGATAAAAAAATCAGCAATGCTAAATGAAGCTGGAAATATCACTTAAACTGTATACTTAAGCTTTAATAAAAACGTTATTTTAGCACTGTGGCTTTTGTTACAGGGGTTTCCTTTTGACTGAAGTTATTTCCATGTTAATTTTGTTTCCTAAGATATATTGTTATATATCACTTGTTTGGGAACTGACAGAAGAACAACAGAAATGCAGAAAAAGGTTGATATTACAAGGCCAGAAAGGACACTCAGCCTCCATTAACTGCATAATGGTCTAAATAATTCATGGTACTGCTAGGAGTCCCATTTGAAGGGCTATTTATTACAATGTCCTATAGTTACTAAGTTTTGGGAGAAAGGAGTGGACCACATAAATGTGACTATGCGACAAAAGCTAAATTTTTCAGAGGATAATATTCTCTTGAATTATATACTTAGTACATGGAATTTGACAACTGGACAATGTAAATAAATTCTTGGTGCCCTTACTACGGCTAAGACTGCTAATGCAACACTGGAAAGATGCCTATAGAGGTAGACTTTGTATGGACGAGTATAATGAAATATGGGACTCATTTATACAAAAAGCATGACAGTTATATAATTATAGTTATATAATTCTGATAATATTTATCAGAAATAAATATATATATCCACTTGCATAATATTTGCATTAGATATATACATAGAATTGTAACTGTTTACTGTTGTAATAATATATTATACTTTATATTTTTTATTATTTTTTTCTATTGTATTTTTCCACTTACTTTTAATCACTTGTTTTTTAATTGGGTTTTTTTTTTGATAATGTATGTATCTTTGTGTTTTATTCCTTTGTGTTTTTTCTTTGTTATTACTGTAAAATGAAAGAATTTTTTTTAAAAAAGGATTATTTAGAAATTGGCTTATATATATATATATATATATATATATGCATTTATTGGCAAAAAGAAAACACAGAAGGTCCTTAATCATGAATCAGCACATCCATGAGCAACAGTGCATCTGGATTAATTTATTTACTTCCAAGGCCTACTGTATGACACAAGTACTGAACTTGTAACTCTAGTGTACTGTAGCATACTGTCTAGTCATTACTACATCTAGAACACTGGGGAAAGTTTGAAAGGCAAGATGGTTACCTAGGAACAGTGGCTGCAAAATGGCCATTTTTCCGTTTTCTTCTCTTTATAAATTCAGCACCTATAAGAAACATTTATTAGCTACCGCTGAAAATAAAAGCATTTCTGCAGGATTCCAATATTTATCACGAAAAAGGAAGATATTTTTAAAGGATCAGGCACAGGATCAGTTGCTTGCACCTGTGCTGCATACTTTACTTTAAAAAACAACCTGACAGCAATTAAAGCCACAACAATCATCGAAAACTCATACATTGCACATCACAAAGTAATCACATCTTTTCCTGTATGGTATTCTGCATGAGAGGCAGGAAATCTGTATGCAGTATCATACATGACCATCAGGTTCCTGTAAAAATGCTCACACCTGTTACTGCATAAGGCGGACCCCTAAAAGGAACGTGCCACCTTTTCTTAATCTAGGGCAAAGTCAGGCTAGCTGGTATAAAGCAGGACCCCGGGAGGCCCAGCCACACAGCAACCATTTCCTAGCCCAGGGATGCAACACCAGCACAATTTAGCACATATTTGAAGACGGATTGGAGTTATGCCTAACTCAAACGTGCCATGTTCTTCCATCCCCCAGCCAGCAGGTCCAGAGCGCCAGATGCTCAGCCCCATCAGCCGCCGACAGCGCGGCGGGGGAACCGGGGGGGAGGGGGGGAGGGTAGGCGGCGGAAGAGCCGGGGAGGAAGAAGCCGAGGGAAGCCCGCCAGGGTGGGCGAGGCGGGAGCCCACCTTCTATCGCCAAGGCCAGCAGCTCTCCTGCCTTATGTCGGCTCCCCCCCCTTTTGATTCCCCTTGCGGCGGAGGGACCGGGCTCAGGATGAAGAGGGAGGCGAGGG